TCCGTCAGTCCCGCCGCAGACATAGCGCCCGGCTCCGTTTCCGCCCTATGCAACGGACTTCCTCATTCGCCTGGCAGTCCTGAGGACCGGAGGGGGCGGGGAGGGGTGCTCTGGGTGCGTGGGAAAAGGGGAGCCGGCTGCCGCGGGGCCCAGGGCGCCGGAAAGACCCCCGTCTGTCCTCTAACGAATTTGGGATTTTGTTGCCCGAAGGTAAAAGGCCTGGGTCTGCCCTCAGCCGTCGGGCGGCCCAGGCGTGCACCTGATTCCACTGCACCCAGAGATGCCACGCCCGGACCAGTGTCTGGGAGCTGGCCCTGACTTTAGGACCAGGCCGGGCTACTGCATCTTTTATGTTAGGGTTAGAGGTGGAGTTTTGAAGCTATCCCCCACTTCCCTGTGCTAGGGTCCTCACCCCATCCTGTCCTGGAGCCACGCCCAGGGCATAACTGCACGCCGCTCCTCTTGGTCCTCATCCCTCACAGGCAACGGAGTCTGAACCCTCCAGGACTTGCTTGCGGCCAGTAGTGAAATTGAGGGTAGGGTGGGCCCGGGCGGGTGCCTGAGGCCCCACCCATTGGTGTTAGGGAAAAGGTTTCTGGAAAGTACCAGGTGTTGGAGACCCGGAGGCTACTTCTGCTGGGCAGTAGAGAGGTCCAGTGGCTTCTCGTTCTCTGAGCGGTTTTTCTGGATTTAGCAAGATTTCAAAGTAACCGTTGCTTGCTCCCTTCGGCAGCACCCATACTAAAACGATACACAGATTCATGGCTCCTGCACAAGGATGACACGCAAATTCGTTTAGCATCCCATAGTTTTAGTCAAAGTAGACTGGCGTGCCCAAGCCATCTCTGGGTAAGTGACTCTCAAGCAGGACTAGGAGGTCTCCTCGCCTAATTGGCTCCCTGATCTGCTGTGTCCCTGCCAGCTTCAGGACCTCCACCTGAACTTCTCAAGCAGCTCCACCCTGGAGCCCCTCCCAAGTCTTGAACCAAGTTAAAATAAAGCTTTTTCAAACAGAAAAAAAAAAAAAAAAGGTAACTGTTGAAGGGGAAGAATTTTAGCCCTTTCTTGTTCTCAGCAACATTGTAGCAATTTCTGACTTCACTGTCTAGAGGCCAGGCTGATAACCTCACCTGCCTACCTTCTTTTTGTTTAGGAAGGCTGCTTGAATGCCTGTTTAGACAATCTCTCAATATTAGTCAATTTATATACAAGGTTGCTATGGGTGGGGGAAAGGCCTATAAATGTGTAATTGAGCAAATATTTAACTGGCTTCTCCTGCCAGGGACTTTGCCAGGTGGTGTGTGTGGGGGTGGGGTGGATGTGAGTTGAGTAAGACCTGGCCCCTGCCCACAGGCATTTAGGGGAGAGCTGAGACAAATCAGTAGGTGACTCTAGTGTGAGGTGGAGATGACAGGAACTCCAGAAAGGTACAGTGAAGCATAGGAGTACCTTGTGAGAGCTTATTGGCCTCCTGAAGAGATTTTTGTCCTGGGGAAATATGAAGGCTTCAAGGAGCAACAGTGGCACACTGAGATACAAAGGCAGCTTGTGCTGCATCCCAAACAAGCCACAGACAAAGGACTCAAGGAATTCCTAGGTTAAGGGGGCCACTGTTGTCCAGGGCACACAGGGAAGCCATCATGAGGAAGGAAGACATTTCAAGCCTGGCAAACTGAGGCAAGCACGTGGTGAAGGAAAGTGGGGAGTCATTTAATGGCTAATTGGGGAGTAATTAAAAGCATTGAGAGATTGCTTAGTGTAGTTTGAGAGCCAGTGTGCGGTGTGGGTGACACTCCAGAACTTTGTTCCTGTACCCAGCAGGTCCTGGCAGGGCAGGTGGGCACACCCAGGTTCCCCTCCAACCAGCATTAGCAAGTTCTGTAGGGAGGCATTATGTCGCTCTGGGGGGAAGGGACTCAGTGGGGCTGCTGGTTTTAAGGGCTTGAGAGGAGAGGAAAGGAAGGACAGGGTTCTGGTTTATCTGGTTTTTATCTTTTTCTTTTAATTTTTGAACTTTTAACCAAAGGGTTTGGAGATAGGGCAGCTTCTCTCTTGTGGAATGAAGGATGCATGTTAATCACAGCCAGCCTTTTGCCTGGTCTTGCTCTAGATAAAAAAAACAAAACAAAACAAGAATCTCTTATTTCTTAGAGAAGCACACTAAAAAAATGCAGCATTGTTACATAGTCAGCGGGGTATTGCTAGAAATGGGGCTGGCTGGAGTTTTGCTCACTTCCTCTTCTCACTAATCCGTCAATAAAGTACTTAAGACAGTCCCTACCAGTTTGACATCTTTATTTCAGAAGGAGAGGAGGGGTTAGCTGTTGTTTTTCTTCTCTTAGGGGAGGGAGGGGGGGGGAAAAAAAAGGGAAAAAAAAAAAAAAAAAAAAAAAAAAAAAAAAAAATCTTTGCCTTGACAGCTTCCTCCAAGCATCATGTTCCAAAAATATTTAGAATAACAAAATCTGTGTGTTCTCTTAATTAAACAACCGTCCTAATTTACTGAGCATAAAACAGCATCTCCGCCTCCCCGCAGGGGCAGGAAGTACATTTTCCTTTTGTGCTGCCCCAGAGAATCACCGCCTCTCAGTTTTAACCCTTGGTGCTCTGAGCCCCTGGGCTCAGGGCCTCTGGTGACTACAGAACAGTTGCCTAGGTAACTGTCTCATGGACTTCTATTTAAATTTTTGTTTTAAATAAAAGTTTGTGTGTGTGAGTCAGAGAGAGAAAAGGAGACAGACAGACAGACAGACAGACAGACAGAAGCTATCTTGGGAGAGTTGATTCTTCTACCATGTGAGTCCTTGGGATCTAACTCAGACTTGGTGGCAGGAGTCTTTAATCCACTGAGTTGGCCCCAGAATCCCATTTTTAAAGTTGGGAATAGGGAGTGGGTCAGGGAAAGAACATGAACTGTGGTGATAGGCAGACTTCAAATCTTAGCCCTTCCCACAAAGCCCCTCAGTGTTCTCATCAGGAACATGGGGATCTTCAGATTACTCGACAGAAGTAATGCAAGAACTGGAAGGAGGAGTGATCATGTAAAAGGGCCTCCTATATCATGGCTGTGTACATCTTTTTGTTACTTTAATTGTAGATGTTACTAGTCTTGCCTCACTAGGTGGTTATGTGAGGGTGGAGGGTAGACCATTTTCCTTGGTCCTAACTCAGTGTTTTTTTTTGTTTTTTTTTTTTGTTTTTTTTTTTCTCTACCTCTAAAAAGGGGTTCATGTATCATGGGGTGCTTGGGGTCATCTGGGGGCGGTGCAAAAAAAAA